CCTCTACTGGCCTATTCCAACTAGGCGGTAGGCCCCGATCACATAACCCCCCCCCCCCCTTCTCTCCTCATCGGCACGAATCAGTAAGCTTCGCGGAAATCTCGCCATTGACGATGACGCTCTGATTCGACGGGCAGCAACGAGCTGGGGTGCAGAGCACACGGAGATCAGGCGGACCGTGATGGCGTCACCTGGACAATCTCTATAGGGCAGGGGGTTGCATATGACAGGGCCGCGGAGGTCTTGCCACGGATGTTGTCGCTATCTCATCTGCGGCTTAGTTACCACCCCTTGTGTTTTTTCTGGAAGCCTTGTTGATGTGTTTGGTTCCTCATGCATCACTCTGTTCTCCCTCTTTCTCTTTCCTCTTCCGCCATGACATGCRATYAGGAGATCGCATAATTTTGGAACCCCCTGCGCGTCACATATGTGACGAACCACTTCCCGAACCCATGCTATCTTTCGTACCCCTGTTTATGTACCATATCAAACCCATTAAGAACCCCCTTTTCGGTTTCTTGTTTTCGGATGCTGCATTTCCTTTTTTCTGGAAGCCTTTCCGATTTTCGGGTTCGTTTTTTTCTTTTTGCAAGTCGGGAAATACATGGGAATTTACGTGCGCCTTAGCGATCGCACGGGGAATTGGGCTCGGCGGTTGGGAATTCCGGGATAAGCGGAACTTTGACATGTCCTTTTCGTATGTGTGAATGTTCTTGGTTGCGTCGGGAAAAACTCTCGGAATTTTGCGCGAATACAAATAGGCGTAGAGTTTTCCTTTCCCGCGTCGCTTTTTCGCGTGCGAATATGGTGATTTCAATTTTGAATTAGGCTGTAACTGTTTTGGTGCCTTTTTCTCTTTTTTTGTTGATGGCACCGCGTATGCCGAGCTTTCTCCTCTCTGTCCCCCGCCTCGCTCCCTCCCGCGCCTCCCTTCCCTTCTCCCTCCTTTTTCTCTCTCCCCGTAACTGTTTTTCCTCTCTCTCTCTCTTTCTCTCCCGCCCTGCTTTTTGCGCGCCCATTTCCCTCTCTTGATCATCTGAATCTTGGACCCGTCTTGCGCTACTTCTCGCGCCTTTTCTCTTCTCCCCCTCTGAGTCTGGCGCACGACGCCCGGTCGATCCATCGATAACTCCTACTCGCCAATTAGGTGCGCGGATCAATAGGATCTTCCTATTGCGCGGCGAATCTTATTGGTTGAACCTTGAGTTTCGAGGGATCAACATGGCGTTCGTAGAGCACTCCTCTCAAAGTCTTATCCTCCTGCTTCTCCTCTTACACCTTAGCTTTCTCGTCACCTTCTCCCCCTTCTATCTCCCCTGTCGCAACTATAAAACCCGCAAGCGCGTCCGCAAATCTCTCTTACGTTCTTGACTCTCAAGCAAGCTTCCGGGAAGAAGTGGCTAGGCAGAGTGTTTGACGCGAGTCGGAAAGTCTTGTCGGGCTGACGATAGACTGGCCGATTGCGGGCTGGATCGCCACGACGGACTGTGGGATCTGGGTGAACCGTGTCGAGTTTGCGACAGTGGGGTGACGATCGCAGTGGTGGGAGTTAGCACGCGACGACCGGGATCGTCGGTGCGGGTATGAGGATCGATGATTGGAGTTGAGTTGATTGGCCCGGGGCCATATTGGAATTAACGGCGAACGCGCCTTTGTTGCGGATTGTTATCTTTGGCGTGAGTGTACGGCGGCAACGCCGAACTTTTCTCTTTTCAGATCTTGTCATCTTCTATTTTGATTTTCTTTCCCTCGACTCTCTCTCTCTCTCTCTCTCTCTCTCTCTCTCTCTCTCTCTCTCTCTCTCTCTCTCTCT